GAAAACCATCTCCAGTCATTTCAATGGCATTTTCTCGAGATGCCAAATATTTGGCAGCAGTGACAGATGAGCCAGATCAATCCATTTATTTATGGCATTTAGAAAAATCAAACGTAAGTGTGCATTTATTGCATATTGAGATGTATATTTTGGAAACGATTTTTCGAATTATTTAATTCCACCTCTACATTCTCCACTTAACAATCTCATAGAAAGTATCAAGTAAAAAAGATTCCCTTCCGTGTGACTCAAATCACGATAAACCCTTACTCACACTGGCAAATGGCGACGACAGGTCCCGACGACATGAAAATCTGGCGTTTCACAGAAGGAGAATTGAAGCATATCGACCCAATTGGAAGTGACAAGTATACCTATCGATGTCACACATGGTTCGATGATGAAAAACTACTTGTTGGTACAGAGGAAGGCCAAATTCTAGTGATCGATGGCAAAAATGTTGTCAAGACCTTCTCCAACGTACATCCGAATGCTTCTGGAATTTTGTGTATTGAGGCTATTGATCGAGGTTTTGTATGTGCTGGAGAAAATGGTTATTTCTCAGTATTTGAAAGAACCTATGACTCTGAATATTTTAATCACTACAAACGTTTCAGAACCTTAGAAAAACGAAAAATCGTCTCGCTATGTGTCTCTAAAAAGAAAATAATGTGATTTGCTGCTACGATGACAACAAATTTACCTACTTTTCTTTAACAAATGTAGACATTTTGAAAGAAAATGATAACAATTTCACCTTGCTGCCCATTGGATTTCATGGACAGTTAGTGCAAGGATTGGCAACTTGTGTACAAAAACCTCTCATGGTCACATGTGGTTCTGATCGAACTCTTAGGATATGGAATTACATGAAGAGACAAGTAGAACTGGAGAAAACCTTCGACGAAGATATTTATTGTGTGTCTATGGATCCAACAGGAACAAGAATTTTGATAGGGTTTCGATACAAACTGAGTTGTTTTGCCATTTTATCCAAAGATCTCTATTTATTACACGATTGGCATGTAAAGAGTTGCAAAATTGCTACCTTTTGCAATGGAGGACAATATTTTGCGTGTGTCTCTGCCACATCCATTCTCATTATATCTTCTTTAACATTTCAAGTTGTACATACATTGAGAGGACATTCTGGAATCATCAAATCCATTGTTTGGGGGAAAGATGACATACATTTAGCATCTGCAAGTTTTGATGGAAGTATTTGTCAGTGGGATTTAGCTTCAGACAAGTTGAGAATTTTTGAAAATGTTGTCAAGACATGCAACTTTCGATGTGTCGCCTATGATAACAAAACAAATACATGCAGTGCTGTAGGAAATGATGGCAATGTGTGGACTTTTAGAAATGGAACACTCTACAGCCAAATACCGACACGAGAAGATTTAACTTCCATCATTTACAGTTCATATTCTGAGGTTGCAGTGGTTGGGACAACGAGTGGAAAATTACTATTGTATTCATGGCCTCCAGAAAAACCTGTCAACAATTTAGATAAGGCACTTCTCGAATACGAAGTACATAATGGCTCGGTCGTTTCATTAATGCTCACAAGTGATGAACGATTCCTTTTCAGTTTGGGTTCCGATGACACACTCTTTATGTTGGAATTGGACACGTGGAAAGATGGAAAACCAATTCAATTTAAAAACTTTGATTTTGACAAATTCTATGACTTGTACTATACACTAAAAGGAAGTGAGGAAGAAATTGAACAACAAATTGTCGAGCTGACCGATAAGTCAAAACAAGCTCATGACGACCACGAACGAAAGATTGAGCAATTGAACGATCAATACACCCAAGAGATGGAAAAACAACGCATTCAATATACAAACGAAATTAAGGAACTCAAACGTGTCAACAACCAACTCAAACAACAACTCGCAGATCAAGAAATTTCATTTAAGGAAAACTTGAACAAGATTGAATATACGCACCAAGAAGAAATTGATAAGGAACGGATCACTGCCGAGTCCAATGTTGCTGAATGTAAATCAAAATATGAGAAAGAAGTGGAAGGGTTGAAAGAAAAATTAGCCTACTTTGTCGACTTGGTTAAAGTCATGACCGAAAAACATGAAGAGGAAATTGAAAAACTCAAACAAGAGTATGAAGAAGAAAAACTTCAACTTGTTGAGACCTATGACAATTTGAGTCAAGATTTTAAACAGCTTTCGAGTGTTTATCAATCAACGGTTCAACAAGCAGAGGAAGACTTTGATACACAACTCAAACGAGTGAAAACATCACTCATTCACACCATTGAAAAACACAAACAATCTGTCATTGAGGCAAAAGGTGAAGCCGTCAAAAAAGGAACCAAAGTTGAAGAGCTCAAGAAGGAAATTGTGGCTCTCAAAAATAAGATTACGAAACAAGAAGAGAAAATTCACCAATTGGAAAAGAAGAATGATGAATATCGCACCACTATAGATACACTACAAGTTGACAAGAAGAAGCAAGAAGATGCTATTTTGATGCAAGAACGAGACAAGAAAGACCTCTTCCGTCAAGCCAAAGAGTTAGAACAAATGAGATATGTTCTTACATTTAAATTTAACAAACTCAAGAATGAAGTGTCGCCGAAGGAAAATCTCATTGCTGAGTTGCGAGAGGATTTGAAAAATATTGAAAAGGAGTTGTTACAAGCCAAGATTGAAAATGACAACTTGCAATCACAAATAGCTCAAAAGAATGAAAAAATTGAAGTCATCCAATCCGAATCTGTCAAACTGAAACAAACAGTGGATGACAAGACTCGTGTGCTCGTTTTACTAATTCAAGAATTATCCAACTTGACAAGTAATGGCGATTCAAAACTCACCAATGTACACCTCAAGAAAATTGTTTCGCGCTACAACAACATTCTCACGAAGGGAATTAAAGCAAATAACCAAGGAGAGAAATTGCGTGACACCATTGAGGAATTTGAACGACAACGTGGATTTTTAGAACAAACCATCTCAGGTATGAAGAGAACACTCTCTACACGTGAGGAACATTTGAAGGGCGACTTGGTTCGAAAGAATAATGAAAATTCTGTCCTTGTCGAAGAAATTAATCAATTACGAAAGGATCAAAAACAGTACAAACAACGCATCATTTCACTCGAATACCAATTGAAGAATGCATTACATTTCCAACAGCAACAATTACAACAACAACAAGGAAAGGAATTGAATACTTCCACTGCTGCATCGACCATCTCTTCAGCAAGGTCGAGACGTGCCGGAAGTGCCACATCTGTTCGGTCCTCTCTCAATAGAATTCGAACACCTGATACCTATTATGTGCCAATTAATACAGGATCCATGGTTGGTGGTGACCCAAACCTTAAGGGTGGTAATGTTGGATTATCGGATAACACCATTACAGGTCTCGATCGAAAGAAGGTTGCAGAATTTGTCGACAGTTTGGAAAAAAATAACAAACGATTCGAGCAGCAACAACAGGAAATTGACAAGCTTAAAAATTATGTACAAAATTTATTGGAAACTGAGGAAAATATCAACATGCAAGACCATACCATAGAAACAACATCTACAACACCAGCTGTGACGCCAACGATGGTTATTGAGAGCAGATCGAGTTCATCCGCAACCACAAGCTCCACTCCAACAGCCACCACGAAATTGGCACCTATTAAGCTCAATAAGAATGCTTAGAATGGCAAGGGTTTGGCATGAACACTGAAATGACATTAAACCACAATACATCAAAAAGAGGAGACGATCATCGACAACTCCCGAATCATTAAAGAATGAGATGAGTGCAACACAATACAGACAATAAAGCCTTTTAATGTATAGGATAGATCAGTTAAGGCATCAACAAGCCAGCCTCAAGAAATTCCTTTTCAAAACCAACTTTGATGGCGGTGTGTCTAGAAATTTTTGGTAAATCCTCTGAAAAGCCCAATTCTTTGAGAGTAGTTATGGCATTCTCAACAGCAGCCTTCTTGTCGATTTCTGACTCGGCATATTTGGTCACCAAGTTCAACAGCAAATAGTAACCATTTTCTTGATGGACTTTAGCAACTCTGAGTGGTTTGATCACAAATTCAGAGTTGGAACCAGAAGGAGCTGGAGATGAAGAAACACTACTCAAATATTCTGGCACATTTTGAGTGGAAGATGAAATGAGAACAATAGATTGTGAATTGCTCTTTCCATAAGCACGAGAAACTCTTGCTTCATAAACTTGTTGTGTGGCAGGGGCATCCAAGTGAATGACCAAATCTACGTTTGGATTCATTGGGCATGCAATGTTACTGCAGAAAGCAATACCATTTTCCAGTTCGTTGAAATAGCTGAAGGCAGTCATGGCTCTTGTTGGAGAAATACGGGAACTAATGAGAGAAGAAAACAGATTATTTTCTGCCATTAAATAGTGTGCGTGAATGATTTTTGCCGAGTCGCCAAAAACTGCAACCTTCTTGTGCTTATTTTCTGATAAAATACCATATAACACCTTCAATTGTTCGGCAGTGTTTTGTGTCTTGATGATTGATTGTTTCACGTTGTGCTTTGTGATAGTTTCTTCACTAGTAAGAACTTCAACATTTTCAGAATTTCTCAAAAATTTAGAAAAGACGCCCTCCGTGTCATTGATAAAAATTCTCTTAGCATTTGGTGAAATATTCTCTGGAGTAAAGATTTGGTCCATCATGGAAGCCATTGAACCCTTGAACATGGAACAATCGTCAACAATAACAATCTTGACATTGCGGAAGTAATCAGAGTTCTTCAAATGTTCTAAAAGTCTTCCAGGAGTTGCAATAATAATCTCAGGTTCGCTCGCATCGAGCAAAGTAATTTCCTTTTCAAGACTTTTTCCTCCACATGTAATTGCATACGACAATCCATAAACATTTTCTCTACGAGTTTGTGAATGTTCATAAGCTTCATAATCATTGTATTCCTCAATAATTTCATGACCTTGCTTTATGGAGGCATTTCTATTGTAGACCTCTAGAGAGGGTTTTTCAACAGAGATATTTGGACGTTCACTTTCTGGTAATGAATTAATGTATTGATCGACTTGTCTTCCAACTGCGAGTGCTGCTTCACGTGATGGGACAATAATCAAAGCACGGAAACCTGGTCGTTCCTTCCATCTCTCCTCACGGATAGCCTTTGTAACAACTTCAAAAGTGGGGATTAGGTAGGAGAGAGTCTTTCCGGAATAGAGTGGTGCTTGAATGAGAACGTCCTTATCATTCTCAGAGGATGAAACAACCTCCAAGGCTTTGTTTTGGAATGAGGTGAGTGAGGGAATTGCAAATGTGGAAGCAACTTTTCCGAGGTCTGTTGTGGTGGAAGTTATGTTTTACCAATTTGGTTATATTATTGAATGTTGGGGTTCGTGAATGATATATACCATTGCCACCAAATGTGGATGGAACAAGGAAGAAGACAATCAATGAGATATTCAAGTTTTTGATTGATTGGACAATGATGAGCAATAGGATATTGATGATGATGACAAAGATGCGATGAATTCATTAAAAAACGACATTAATTGAATGAATTTGTGTTTCATCATGGTGATGATGATATTGTGATATCGTATGATGATGAAAGCATAATTTGAAGAATTGACAAGTGCAATATTAATAAATTTCATTCAAAAAACCCATTGTTGTTCATCATCATCATTTGTTCATCATTGAATGTTGTCATTTGTTGTTTTTTGAATAATTAATGTCAAAATATTCCAATTTCATTCCGTGTAAATAATAATAACAACTCAAAGTTGTATGATTTGAGCATAACCTACCAATCTGATAGAATCGCACCGAAGAGTGAGTCTTCCACAAAGCAGCAGTACTCAATGAGCGAGAACATAATTTAGTGAAACTCTTCATTTTTTCTTTCAACAAAATTTATACCAAGCATCGATGAAAAGAATAACAGGATATTTAATCATTATTATTAATTAATACTATAAATTATTGTTGGGTGAGAACGACAAAGGTAGAGCTTTTGGAAAGAGCAATATGATAGGTGGTTGATGGCGTGGAGGGTTGGTCGTTAAATTTAATTTGTAATTTTTTCATGGACTCTCCCGAATTGGTGGACGAGAGAAGACCATTCACATCTTGCAACATGAAATGGATGTGAGTGAGAAGCTCCGGTTGACTCTTTAGAATTCCTTCACTCTTTAAGATGATAATTCCATTCATCAAAATGTTGTGTAACGGAAATGTCCAAAAAATCAAATGAACGTTGTCATGACATAATACGGTTCCATCATTAGGTCAACCAATTATTGAATCTACCTACATGGATCACCGTTCCATTTGTGTTATCAATCACTCCGTATCCCTTTTGTCCTTCAATGCCTTCCAGGCTCTGCAAATTGTAAGAAGTCTTTGCTTGTAAATCTCGTGAAAGAAGACTCATTTTTCGTGTTGTTGCAGCACGTTCAAAAAATGTCTTCGGTAGGTATTGAGTTTTTCAATTTTTCATTTGCTGATAAATCTTTATTTCACCTCTGTTCATTCATTCATCATCAATTGATTTGTTGTGTTGAACAATGTAAAAAATATATATGGATGAATATAATTTTGATCTGAATAATTACAAATGCCGTTGTTCTGATCCATGCGGAATGATGATACTACATTAATATATGTTGATGATGATGATTAACTATCTAAAATTAATCTCAACAACACAACCGCGACCTGCACCGTATTGAATTGAACAACCACAATAATAATCGTGGTGAAATATACACACGTTTTGAATGAAAATATACATCTTTTCGGAACTGTATCGGATTCATCATGATGATGATGGACCACCAACTACCATAATCACTCTAACACTAGATCGATCTAGTCAATCCTAAGCCTTTCCTCAACGAATCGATAGGAAAACCTGTCGTTGTTAAACTCAAATGGGGTATGGAGTATAAAGGACTTTTAAAATCAGTGGATCACTACATGAATTTTCAATTGGCAAATAGTGAGGAATGGATTGATGGTTCATTCAGAGGAAACCTCGGAGATTTGTTAATCCGGTGCAACAATGTCTTGTACATTCGTCAAGTTGATCCAGAAACTGAGGAGAAGGAATATAATGATCCAAAAGCAACATCCTCACTTTTGAAACAACAACAACAAGGCAATGATGGAAATGCAACAGTTTCACAACAAAACCCAATGCAAGAATAATTTATTGATATCAAATTTTGAGAATATAAATTCTCACTCTTCCCATTATCCTTTGTGGTTTCTTTGTCTTTCAATTTTTACACCTGCACGGATGTCCATTGTTTTCTTCGCTCGCTTCAAATGTTCAACACGTAATAAATGTTCAACGAACAACATCTCGGTTTGGACTCTCATCTTGCAAAGAGGAACCCTCACTTGTCAACACACAAAAAATTATCGAAACATTAAAAACTTCCAATTCCATCGGTGAAATCCATTATTGTTGCACAACAATCAGTGATTGATCATTCAGCAAAATGCCCTACAACGAAACAGAGATCAAGTGTGTGGTCGTGGGAGATGGTGCCGTCGGTACGTTGTTGTCCTCGATTGTTTTCATGATGGCAAGATCAAAACCTTTCAAACTCTCAATTATTTTGCCGAATCATGATTTATGAACATTTATCACCTTTTATCATCACCAACAACATTATCATCATCCATATCAGGCAAGACATGTCTGGTATGTATCTCATCATGTTCTTTTTTTTGTTCTTATACAAGGAATTCCATCATCATCACCACAATGAAACTATTTTTCAATTTGTCCAAACTTTACTGTATGGTTTGAAAACATCATTGTCACTAACACTTACAAAACAACAACATCAACCATTCGAATCCTTCTCTCTCATAAAACACCACTTTTTACCAAACGTTGACTCACAAAATGTGGTCACAATCCATCATCCGTCACACAAATGGAACTTGCAAATATTTCTCTTTTTTTGGTGTTTTTTCATTCATCGATTTTGTTTGTAAATACTTCCATTTTGTGAATACTTTTTGTCACATCAGGTCAAAGTCTATGTCGATAACAAATTTCCAGAAGGATATATCCCAACTGTTTTTGAAAATACCTATCTCATTCAGGAATATAGAGGATTTAAAGTAAATCTTGGAATATGGGATACAGGTGAGTTGGATTTGATGTACTGGAATTTCATGACAATTGTGTTAACAAAAATGAATTTGAATGACCACTCGATCCTCGAAAACAGCTGGACAGGAAGATTAGTATGTATTCAATTTCAATTCATCAACTCTCTATTGAATGACTTACAATTCTTTTGTTCTTGACACAGTGGTATGTAATTCCTTTTTTGGATTAGAAATTTGATTGAAAAAGATTTCCATGTCCAAATTTCATAATTGAACTCTTATTTGACAACATTGGGAATACATGAATAGATCGTCTGAGGCCACTTTCCTATCCAGGTGCCAACGTCATTATCATTTGTATAAGCGTGGTTGATCCAAATCCTTTCGAAAATGTCAGAACCAGATGGTTGCCAGAAGTCACACATCACTGCCCACATGTTCCCATTGTTTTAGCAGCCACAAAAACAGATCTTCGTGAGGATCCAGCTTCATTGAAACTCCTTCAACAACGAAGTTGCAAACCTGTCACCACTCAAGAAGTTGAACAATTTGCCAAAGAAATTAAGGCCTTCTCATTTCAAGAATGTTCAAGTAAATTGAATAGTGGAATTAAGGAACTTTTGAAAAGTGCATACAAGCCGTATTATTTCCAAATGAAGGAAAGGAAGGGTCTAAAAACAAGAGGAATCAAAGAAGAAGAAGGATTGTCTCATGATGTAATTACACGATTTTTCAAACATAAATCCGTATGTTCTGAATGATGAGGAGAGGACAATTGTCCTTTTCATGAACTCGAGCCTGAAATGCATCCAACTGTCACTTGCCAACAGTCACCATTCTCTTATGCATTTGCAACGCAGTTTTTGGGTGACGCAAACCAGTTTCGCTGGAGAAAAGAACTCCAGTTTCGCTGGACTAATTCTAGTCCATTATCCAAGCGAATCTCAACTCACTCCAGCGAAAAATCTCGTTGCGCACACATAAGACCTCTGTGGTGACGCACTTCTCAAGTAAAAATTTCAAAAAATGGCTCAAAGTTCTGATCAAGGTTCCAATTCTTTCATCACCAAACGTGTGTGCATTGTCGGTTGCGGTTCAAGCGGTCTCAGTGCCATCAAAGCTCTCCTCGAATCCAATTTCACACTCTTTCCCGATTCCGTTCCTTCATATCCACTTTTTCAACATTCAAAAGACCATCGAACGATGGATTGCACCTTTCCGAAAAGAAACTCCTCGAATTCGAAGGAAAAACCAAGTATTCTCTTTGAACCTGTGTGTTATGAAGCCACTAATGATATTGGAGGATTGTGGAGATTTTCCGAGAATGAAAGTGAATTTTCTTCCGTCTACAAATCGACAGTGATTAATACGAGTAAGGAAATGATGAGTTTTTCGGATTTCCCAATACCAGATGAGTTTCCTCCGTTTTTACCACATTACAAGATTATTGAGTATTTTAAAATGTATGCCAATCACTTCTCATTGTGGAAATATATTCAATTTGAAACTCGAGTGGTATCAATTACTAAAAAAGGTGAAAAATATCTTGTGAAAACTGTAAAACAAGCTAATAGTAGCAATGACACGGATACCACTCGCCTTGTCGAAATGGAAGAAGAATTTGATTTTATCATGGCCTGTACTGGACATCACTCAAAACCTCAAATGGCTCACTTTGAGGGTTTAAAAGAGCATTTCAAAGGCCATGTCATGCATTCACATGCCTACAAGGACCCATTCAAAGAAGAATTTTTAAATAAGAATGCTCTTGTGATTGGTATCGGCAATAGTGGTGGAGATATTGCCACAGAATTGGCCAAAAACGTTGCAAAAAGTGTCACACTTTCCACTCGTTCAGGAACTTGGATCATTCCAAGAGAATCTCTGTTTGGTTCTCCTCTCGATCATGTTCCTCGTTATTTATGGTTGTTACCAACTGTTGCTTTACAATTTGTCATGGAAAATACTATGAAGTTATTTTACGGAAATATTGAAGGAGTGGACAAAAACTTGCAACCTCGGCATCACTTGCTGAGTTCTCATCCAACCATTAATAGTGAACTCGTTGGAAAGATTCGAACTGGAGTCATTAATGTTCAACGGAATATTTCCAAGTTTTTAAATGACGGTCATTCCGTTGAATTTGAAGATGGAACCGTTGTTCACAATATTGACACAGTAATTATGTGTACAGGTTACAAAATTGAATTCTCATATTTGAATGAAATTTCTGAGGACTTGTCATTGTGTCATCGCGACGACAATCAAGTACATATATACAAGTACATGTTCCATCCGTCACATCCTTCCATTGCATTCATTGGATTGGTTCAACCTTTGGGAGCAATCATGCCTATCGCAGAATTACAATCCAGAATTGCTGCTCAAGCCTTCCGTGGTGACTGTCACTTGCCATCCGAAACAGAAATGAAAGCGGATATCGAAATGAAAAAGAAGGAGATGCAAAAGAGATATCTCAACTCTAAACGACATACCATTCAAGTCGATTACACACTCTACATGGACGAACTTGCAGAAATGATTCAAGTCAAACCATATTACTTGCACTATCTTTTCACAAACCCAAGATTGGGTGTGAAATTACTGAACTCACCAGCATTTCCAGTCACGTATCGAATTGAAGACGATTCTCCATTTGTGAATGCGACACAACGTCAAAAGGAACGAGAACAAGCCATTTCAACTCTTCAAAAAGTTTCCTATGATTTATTTTCAGAGAATTATCAATCCAATCCCAATGACAGAAAGAAATCGATTCAAGAAAGAGAATCATTCTTGATTGTTGTCTGGTTGCAAGCAGTGTTTCTGTTGTTCGTTTATGTGATTTATTTGTTGAGGAGAAGGTGGAAATATTGAATATTTACCTAAAAGTTGTCGCAGAGGGGAACAAGTGAAATAATTCATTAAGGTGAGGTCAACCTAAGGAGCACCTTAATACTTTTGAATTTGCAGTTGTTCCAATACAACGACACTAATAGGAATAGGGCGGATCGTTTTGAAAAAAAATTTATTGAGGTATATGTACACCGAATCCAGTTGGGATTCTAACTAAGGACACAAGGTCCTTAGTCTTCAATCTTGTCAGAGTAGTAGTACTTGGATTTCAGGCCAATTCCTTTCAATTGCTGCATCACTATCTGGAGGTAGGAAACCGGAGTGATGGACGTAGAAAATGGGACGATGTGGATTAAACCACGAATTCGAATCTGTGATTGTACATGGTTGGAAATCAAAGAAGAGATCTTCATTTCACAGAGTTTTGAAAAAAAATGCATACTTGTTATGCAGTTCGTTGTTCGCGCGCGAAATAGCGAGTACTCGCACCTTTTTCGGACAAGTTCACTCAACAAAAAAAAATGCTCAACAACAAACTCATTCCCTCGTCATCCGCATCATCGGATCAAGCACAGAGAGATCTTGAAACTTTTCCAAGTTCATCCTCAACACCACCAATTAAAATTGGAGTGAGTGAGATGAACAATGCACTGATTCAAATGGCTTCCGATTGTCAGAATATTTTAATTGCCGGTTGTGGTGGAGGCTTTGACATTTATTCGGGATTGCCTTTGTATTTTGATTTGAAAGCAATGAACAAGAATGTTTATTTGGCGAACTTGGCGTTTACCGATTTGAGTCGTAAGTTGAATTCATGAATGAGTAGTTGTTGTTGTTGTTGTTATTGAATACGATCATGTCAACTTTTATCACAACACAACTGATCCGTCAATCTCAAAATCTCAATCATTCGCTTTAATAATTATTATTCACTGCTCAATAGGAATGGATAAGAATACGGAGAATATTGAACTTGCATCATATCCGAACAAAAACGTTCTTTATGCTGTTCATGCAGAATCGAACAATCATGATTTGGTCTATTTTCCTGAAAAGTATTTGTGTGAATTTTTAAAGAAGAATGGTATTGATGAGAATCCAGTTGTTTACACATTTGATAGAGGTACTGGGGTTATAGGAATGACTGAGGGTTATGAAATTATCATTCAGAGACATGGTATCGAATTGATGATCTTGGTAGATGGTGGAAATGATTCGCTGATGAGAGGAAATGAGGAAAAACTTGGCTCGCCTCATGAAGATAGTAAGTATTCTTGTGTTCTCATTGCATATATCGAAATGATCATTCATGATTGTACTGCTTCATATGATTAATTTAATTGTCACATCTGCGCATAGGCATGAGCATTGCGGGAGTTTATGCAATTTCTGAGAAAATTCTTCCAATGGACAAAAGAATTATGGCTTGTATTGGTTTCGGAGTTGATTATTTCCATGGAGTTCATTCTTCTTTATTTTTTGAAAATACGAGTAGTATCATTTCACAATACGAAGGTGGTTTTAAAGGAGCTTTTTCTGTCTTGAAAGAATGGAATTGTTTTTTACTGTTCAAACAAGCAT